ATCTATCTATCTATCTATCTATCTATCTATCTATCTATCTATCTATCATCATCATAATCTTCTATCTATCTATCTATCTATCTATCTATCTATCTATCTATCTATCATCTATCTCACTGTCCATCTTGAATACGTAAGTGGTAAGAGGAAACGTGAGAGTTGATACTATATGGAACAAAACTGGAACAAAAGAAAGCAGAGAGGTCCCTTAAATCTGTGGCCCCTCCAATTTTTGGGAAGTGGAGACCAGTTCTGTGGAGTGGAGCTTTTCCCATGGATGGGTGGGGGTTTCATGTGCTGAACCCCATAAATGGGGCTTCGTTTGTTTGTGTGGCCCGGTTTCTGGCATGCCGGAGGCTGGGGACCCTTGCCTTAAATCATTGCTCGAGATGGCTAATGGGTTGATCAACTGATTTGAAGGGATCTTGCAGCAAAATCTTACCGGGTGAGAAATGCCACTGTTGGCCCTGTCTGCGATCCCAACTTCAGTTGGTCCTTGACTAACAACCATCGTTTAGCGACCCAAGCCATGCGATCAACATTTGGCTTCCGACAAAGTCAACAGGGAAAGCTGGGTTCACTCAAGGACCCCATGATTCACTTAATAACTTCAGTGGTTTGCTTAACCACTCTGGCAAGAAAGGTTGTAAAAATCAGGCGTGACTCACATAACCACCACCGTGCTTTGCAATGGAAATTCTGGTCGTAAATTGAGCATTACCTTTATATGCTGAATCTAAACAGATCATCGGATAGATCTATAATCGGAAGGGATTATAGATTGTCTTTGATTGTTTTGGGTCAAGTGAATGAATTAATAATAGACTTTCAAAATATATATCTATATCTATTTACTTGCAGTTCATGGCTTCCACAGGGAATATTGTCTCCAAAGCTAAATATGAATCCAAAATCCCACCATTTTATTATAAGCCAACTTTTCAAGACTGCCTGTAAGTATCCACCTTTTTGCTCAAGCATTTTGAGGATAAGTATTTTCCAGGCACGCCAGAGTAACTATAATCTTCATCCTGCTGGCTGGGTTGAGCTGATTTAAAAAAAAAAAAAACACCTGCAATGAAATTGGATCAATTGAAAACTCTTAAAAAGTCATAATCTGTATTGGATTATTTTTTCAGCTCTTGGATGTTACTGATGAAAACAATAGCTGTTTTGCTTTTGTTGTTGTTGTTTTAGATAATGATTGCATTATCTGTTGTCACGAACAACACTTCCAGGGTTAAACTCGTTTGTAGAAAAAGAGGAATACATGTTTATGTGTGAACGGAAACTAGACATGAATCACGGAATTCATCGCATGTTGATTGAGTTTATAATGCTACGTTCATAAAATGGGACAAAACTCACTTAACTGCCTTGTTTAGCATCGGAAATTTGGGGCTTAATTGTGGTCATAAGCTGAGGATTGTCTGTATTGCTGGAGGATATTGTTTTGGGTAGAAAAAAAATCATCATTGCAGTGCTTTTTAAATCAATCCTTTTTCTGGTTTTCTTTCTTTTTGTCAGACTGTTACGAGAACAATGGATCAGGGCTAAATACGAAAGGGAAGAATTCATTTTCACTGAGAAACAAGAGCCTTACTCTGCAGGTAATGGAGAAATATTTTTTTGTAGGTATGAATCTAAATGTTTGCTGTTCAAAGTTCTTATTGACTTAAGCCTCTGGGGGAGGCGGGGGAAAACTTTTGTCATATTTACTTCCACTTTTAAGCATAGTTCTGTGTTTGGTCCGAAACGGAGTTACTGATTACAGTGTTCAAGGATTATATTGAATCCTGATTTTACATATCAGTTTGTTCGCACTTGACCAGTTAAATCTGGGATTCTCAACCTGTTCATTTTGACCTCTGGCTTGTGTTCCAGTTATGTTGGTTCGTGATGCTTTTGCCATACAGGTGTGCAAAAGAGACTTCTGTTTCCTAAAAGAAAAAAGAAGAAGGGGAAAGTACACCTTTCGCACTTACTAAAGAGTAATTTTGATTTATTTTTAGCTGGCCAAACAGGATGTGGACCACTTGTTTAGAAGGAAGCCACTATTGGTTTGAGCTCAGGGCAGTCTTAAAATTAGTAAGACACGTATTCATTTGGAAACTGATTGTTTCTTTTGTTTCATTCTACCTGTGAATGTTTTAAGAGATTGGCCTGTGTGTATGGAGGAAATAAATTACAGGTATGGTGAGAGTGGCTAACATAAACTTAAGTCAGACTTAAAAGTTAAGAAGACTAGTTTGTTCTAGTGGTTAAGACACCAGACAAGGAAGCTGGAAACGGTGAGTTCTAGTCTCACCTTAGATATGAGAGCCAGCTGGATGACTTTGGACCTATCACCAGGAGACTGTGAGTTCTAGTCCTGCCTTAGATATGGAAAACAGCTGGGTGACTTTGGGCCAATCACTAGGAGACCGGGAGTTCTAGTCTTGCCTTAGCCACGAAAGCCACCTGGGTGACTTTGGGCCAATCACTAGTACACTGGGAATTCTAGTTCCACTTTGGATACAAAAGCCACCTGGGTGACTTTGGGCCAGTCTGTCCGTCTCAGCCCTGCCCACCTCACAGGTTTCTTTCTTCTTGTGGGGGAAAAGAAGAGAAGGAAGATGTGTGGGATATAAAAGGCAGGATGTAAATAAATAAATAGAATTAACACAGACACTCCTTTTTGGAAATGCCAATCACAAATCCCGTTGGGACAAAATACAAGGTTTTCTGATGCCTGAGAAATACTGGTTACAGGTCAGCATAACAAAAATCGCAAAGCACCAGGAAGTATTTGCTTCTAATAAATTTTATTGTAAGGCAATAAGCTTTCATCAGCTGTGGTTTTCTGACTTTCTTCCTCCTGCCAATGTGTACTAACCAGAATTTCAATGGGACGGGCTATAATTTTGCTTTGGGGGGGGGGGGGTAGACGTTAATAGAATTATAGAATAACAGAGTTGGAAGGGACCTTGGAGGTCTTCTAGTCCAACCCCTCCTGCTCGGGCAGGAAAACTTATTACCGTTTCGGACAGATGGTGGTCTAATTGCTTCTTAAAAAACTTCCAGTGTTGGAGTTCCTACTAGCCTGCCTTTGATTTGCAGCTCCAACAGGCAAGCTGTTTGCTTCCTGATTCCTTGGGGCTGGCAACGGTGTGCAGAAAATGAGAAACGCTGGCACCCCTTCCTTACAAGGACAAGCAAGAGACTCTTGCAGGAGGGGGAGAGCGAGGAGGAGGGGAAATGTTAGCTAGAGAACAGCCGGAGCAGCAGAAGTTATAATATGACGAATGAGTGGACGCCGAAAGAGTGTCACAACACACAGGCAACGTGGCTTCGTAAATCACCGGACAATCTGGGGGCTGTTTGGTTTCACTGCCCATCCCTGCCTTTGAGGACGACTTGGTTCCCCCCAAAACAAGCCACGATGGTCAGACATACCAGGATTTAAGGCTTTTGAAGAAGCCCAATTTGTGAAGATGGTCCTCCCAGAGATTTTGGCCAAGAGGACTTTCCTGAATTCTTCTAACTCAAGGACTAGAAGTGGGTGATGTTCTAGAGATGATTGATTATGTCTCCCATTATCGAAAACCATCGGTCGTGTCAGGTGGGGACCATGGGAACTGGAGTCCAACAATGTCTGAAGAGCGAGAAGATCCCTAGCATTTTTTTGAAGGGAAGAAATGGAATCCCCAGCCTTTGGAGACACCGGTCACTTCGAATTAAAGGCTTCCTGAAAGGTGGGATTTCAGAAGTGAGTTGTGGGTTCTCCCAAGAGGCTGTCATGGACATCACAGCATTGATGGAACTGTCTAGAAGATCCAGGCTGAGGTGTAGAAGCTTCAGAGAAGATGTTTGGTGCTCATGATGTGGAACACAAAAGCTACACAAGGCCCTCTTTTCTTCTTGACTCCGAGGAAAATGCATAAAATAAGCCTCTTTCATGCCTGGCCCTCAAATCTTTCCTTCTGTGCAGAGCTCAACAATAGCATTGTTGTTAATAAAACAGTGGGTGTGTGGTGGAAACGGTACAGCTGAGACCGTGATGGTTGCAAAGCTGGGGTCATGGGTAAGAAGGCGGTTTTTTGGGGGGAGTGGGGGCAACACCCAACAGCTTTCACGGTGTCCTTGAGAGAACTTTGGCATTTTTTACTCCTCATTGTCTCAAGATGGAACATACAAACTCTTGTTTTCCTCCTCAGTTGCACTAAGGAGCTTGGGAGTCGATCCATCTGTCCTTCCTTCCGAAGGAGACTAAAAAGCAAATTATGGAGAGACCAGTGCAGAGATGAAGGAAGCCCTGTAGAAATGGTGTCCATGATAAAAACAGAGAAGAGAACATTGAGCTATGTTCTCACCAACGTGAGACTCGAGGGTGGGTTGAAATGGAACCAAGAAGAAACAAGGGAGAAGCTTGAAGGCATCTTAAAACATGAACGTGGATACAAAAGGAGGTGTGGGTTTCTGACCCAAATCTCCAAGATCGTTTAAGGACGAGGAAAAGTTGAGGTTGCCAGGAATTGTGGCCAAATTCAGGTGTTATTTTTTTTTCTTTGTTTTACAAGATGGATCTTTTTCTCAAGTAGGAATGTAATTTTCTTGGCAAGGAGTTGAACCATTTCAACTGGGTTTTGCAGGAGCATCGAAACTAGTATCACATATATAGTTCTAGACATTTGGGATATTGAAATTATGGTAGAATAATGAGTACTTTAAAAAAATAATAATATGCACATGACTTAATAGGGGATAACAAATACATGGTGAAAAGAAATGTTATTTATGCTTAAATGAATGGAAACAAATGAGAAAGAATTATAAAGAGATAATCATATTGTTGTAGTTGGAAGATTAGGATTTTATGTATATACTTATTTGTATTATCATTATTAGCATTGTTTAAAAAGGACATTGACCTAGTCAATGTACTGTCCACAAAATATGTATGATGTGAAAGGAAAACTGTAAATAAAGCATGAATTATTAAAAAAAAACCCACTAGTATCTTAGATTTTAAACAGGTCCTGAGGTCCCAACTAAAATACTTCTATGTCATATGAACAGATCCCCAGAAATGATACTTGGAATTCCTTCTTAGCACTTTCTTTATTGTTGTTGCCTACAGACTTGCCAGACTAAAACAGAAGATGGATTTTTTTTATTTCCACCAGGAGATTCTGGATGAATGTTCACAAAGGAACAATCTAAGTTTCATCTTCTTTTTTACAAAGTAATCATCTGTTTCCTGTAGAAAACATTGCTGTTTTTTGCTGTTTCTCCACAGGCTACCGGGAAGGATATCTGTGGAAGAGGGGACGTGATAATGGGCAGTTTCTGAGCAGAAAATTTGTCCTTTCAGAACGGGAAGGAGCCCTGAAATACTACAACAAAAATGATGTAAGAGTGATGGTAGTGGTTGGTGGTAGAGTAGGTCCTCTTTTGAAGAATGGGCCATAAGATAACCTGCCCGGTCTCTTGTTTGTAGATTTTAATCTATATATATAAAAGTGAAATACCACTCACGCATCATCATAAAATCTCCAGAACCATAAAGCCTACAAACTTGAAATTTGGCATGTATGTTCCTCCTGGCTTCTAGGGGCTCACTGAGAAAGGATTTTGTGAAATGACCATCAGAGCATTAGTATTTAGTATTTTATTATTATTAACACACTTTGATGCTGAGGAATTCTACTCCATCCCACCGGAAAAGAAATCTCCTCCAAATGCAAAATACAAGCAGAGGAGTTTCGGTTTCAATTTTAGTTTCAGTTTCAAAGCAGCAACTAGCTTTAGTTCAGAACAGTTGAGCTAAGTCCCACTCAGGCTCCTTGCTGTCTCCATCTTGCTCACATAGCAAATACTGTTTCAGTTTCTAAACAGCCTCACACACTGACAGGATGCTAGCCAAATGAATACCGATGGATGCTGGTAGGCAGAGGCAGTTTTTTTTTTCACTTATTGTCCTCCCCGCAAACTAAGCCCCACCACATAGTTTCGTAGTGAAGCATGGGAATCGAGTTAGTTAATGATATGGTACATTACATTCTGGGAGAACATGAGAATAAGACTGTGTTCCTAAGTTCTCACGGGCCTTGTACTAACTTGGGAGTGAGTTAATGGTTCAATCTGTTGAAGGAACACCAAAAAGAGATCCGCAGATCCTATCAGCTAACCCCAAAGAAACTAAATTTAGCCCCCAACAAAACCAATCACACACAGCTTCAATCACTTGACCCCCTCAGTTGGGTTACCGAATCCCAGATCCATTTTGCCGTACCATGCTTCCTTCCCAAGCTGCACACTCGGTGGGAGAGGACAACCACTTCAGATAGAAGGAGAATACCAGATTTCTGATGGTAGGTGTGGAAGATTGGCGTTCTCACCATGTTGGGTTGAGCTGAAGGAGGTTGGGATGACGGTAGCATTGTTTGTGGTAGGAGCTCAGTTGTTCTGGCGTTGAACCTGGTCATCATCATCTTCCAAGACTTGGTGGATTTGGTAGGACTTATCCCACCCTATAAATACAAACATGGTCTTTTGATGTATTAATTGGCTTTATGTTTAGCATCTCAAGTGAATTCAGGCGAAAGACAAACTATGGTCAATGTCTGGTCAAGAGGAAGGAGTGGCCAGGTTCTCCCTTCGAGTGAAAGAACTTCGCTGCACCTTGAGTGGAAAAGTGACTAGTTCAACAGGATCCACCAAAGCAAGGTTGATCAAATTTGACAGCTTTAAGATGGGTGGACTTCAATTCTTAGCATGCTGGCTGGGGAATTCTGGAAGTTGAAGTCCACAGAGTTGCCAAGGTAGAATAAACACTGCACTAGAACGTCTCAGGCAGAAGGCCATCTATAAGGAAGGGTCTAGCCCACTGTTTCTCAGACTTGGTTACTAGAGATATGTGGGCTTCTACTCCCAGAATTCCTCAGCTGGCATCATGGCTGGTGCTGTCCAAGGTCCTGATAGATCCTAAGACAACTGCTGGGTCATTTCTTCATAGAGATGACTCAGCTCCTTCCTACGGTTGGCAAAGAAATGAGGATTGTGACGTCATGGTTGCTTCTGGATCTTCTGGAGATCCGGAGCCAGAAATAAGAGCAAATGGGTGTTTATGCACCTTTGAGCATTACGTTTGAGGAAGCGAGAATTCATAATTCATAATGCTCCGAATGAATGATTTTTTTAAATATTTTTTGGGGGGGAGTTTAAAAGATTCTGCATATTGCTGAGGCCAGTTGCAATTAAAAACAGAGGCAACTTAAGCTGTCTGGGAGCTCTATCCGCCCATGTCCACTATTTCTTCTGTATTTACTGAATGTGCCTGGGAATTCTGGGAGTTGAAGTCCACAGATCTTAAAGTTGCCAAGGTTGGTGACTTCAATTTGAATCCCGACCTTATGTTAATTCCTGATGGATTACAGAACTGCTTCTCCCAATTTTGTTTGGGGTGAGTGCTTGTGTACCCGATGCGCCACAGATATAGCGAAGCCCTCCAACATTGCAGCTGTGGTTGATGTGCTGTGGTGGTTTTCCTCGCCAGGCCAAAGAACCCAAAGCGATTATGAAAATTGAGCATCTCAACGCCACCTTCCAGCCCGAGAAAATTGGAAACCCTCATGGGTTGCAGATCACCTACTTGAAGGACAACAGCACAAGGAATATTTTTGTTTACCATGAAGATGGCAAGGTGGGAGCCCCGAAGTAAGGAAGGAAGCAGCTCCAAGGGTTGGTTTGCATGGGGCCAAAAGGAGCACCAAGTAGAGACTGTGTCTCTGTGTGTTTGTGCAGCCCTTCTGACTTGTGGTGGCAACAAGGGTGGCTCCAGATAATTGCTAAGACAATTGTCCACCCAGTATTATTCTCTTTGTCGTCCTATCCATCAATCATCTCTCTCTGTCTCTATCATCCATCCATCCATCTAACCTATCTACCCACCCATATCTATCTATCTTTCTATCTATCTTTCTATCTATCTTTCTATCTATCTATCTATCTATCTATCTATCTATCTATCTATCTATCTATCTATCTAATCATCTATATCATCTTATCTATCATCTATCTCATCTATCATCTGTATCTATCTATCTATCTATCTATCTATCTATCTATCTATCTATCTAT